TTGCCAAAACTATGAAAACTATTCCTGTAGGAAAAGTCCCTTTTTTATTAGTCCTGAATACATTGTAGGCAGCAAAGTACAGGATTAGACAGATTTTATTTTAAATTGTCAAAAAAGAATTTTACTAGTTTGTGGTATTGCCTATGGTGAATGAGGCATTTTCTATTGACATCAGTTAGAACAGGGCTGGTCTGCTGATTATCACTGAAATAAACAGGAGCAGAAATCCTTTCCCTAACAAACTAAAATCAAAGGATAGGGGAAGGGATACCAGAAGAGAAATGAACACAATAATGATTGGCCATGTCTTGGTACTACAGTGTTAAATTAAAATGATGCTTCTGTTTAAAAAAAAATAAATAAAAGGAAAAAAAACAATGCATCTCAAGCAAGACCCAAGACCCACTTTACTCAGCCTTAGTAAGGCTGCAGCTGGAGTACTGCATCGAATTCTGGGCTCCCCACTTCAGAAACGATGTGAAGAAGCTTGAGACAGTCCAGAGGATAGCCACGCGCATGATTAGAGGCCAAGAGAACAGGCTTTATGAGGAGAAGCTGAGAGGCATGGGACTCTTCAGCCTGGAGAAGTGAAAGCTCAGGGGTCATTGGTGACATGTAGGGTGTGTATGCAGGTGCACATGCACCCCCTTAGACAGGAGGTGGCCGCCATGCATCCACCGCTGCCTGTGGGCAGTCGCCATGTGCCCCCAGCCTCCGGGGATACACATCAAGTCAGGGGTGACTTGGTGGCAGCCTGTTCTAATACAGGCAGTCCTTGACTTACAGCGTTTCAAGTTACGTTTCGCACTTACGTTTATAAATTGACACCCTATTTCAACTTTCTGACATCAGTTTCAACTTTACAACACTTGATCTGATGTGATGCCATGCCAGCGAACAAGTTTGCTATGTCTCCCATCTCCCTGGAGAACATCTGTCCAAACTTCCTTGGATACTTTCTGTAAGAAAGCAGACAAGACTCCAGAAAAACCTGGAGCCAAGACTCCTGAGAAGACCCCAGCCAAGAACCCTTCAACAAGTCCAGCAAAGTCACCTCAAAGAAGTCCTTCCAAATCAATACGATCGCTATTTACAATATAAATACATTAATGTAGCTATATTACTCATCTATAATTGATTGAGTACAAAATTCTGGGGTATTTTTGGTGAAACTAGAGTATCAGGCCTTGGTTCAGGAATCAATCCCCCATTTGTAACATTGTTTCTTATGAGAAAGTTGGTTCAGAGTTGCAACGTTTTGACTTAAGACGTGGTTTTCAGGAACCAGTTGTGTCATAAGTCCGAGGACTGCCCGTATAATAAAAGGCTTAGACTTTGTGTCTGTCTGTCCATACTGCTTTTGGGCAACTGCGCATGTGCTGCTGAGAGGGCAGGTGGTGATTGGCTGCATGGCCCAGGCTGTGTGAGCCCAAGTTTGAGCAACTGCTCAGGAAGTTTGTGGCGGCGGTGAACATGCTTTGGCCGCCTGAGCAGCGGGGCTTCCCCACACCTCCCTGCCTGAGGGTGAAGGGGAGGGGTCATGGTGGTGGTGCCCTCTGGCTCTGACGCCCCCCAGAACAGCCGGCAGGGAGGGGGATGTGGTGGGCAAGGAGGGAGGGAGGGAGACGCAGGCCAGGTGGACACATAGTGGTGAGGGTGGGGGGAGAGAGAGAGACTGGATCCAAAGCAGCGGGGAGGAAGGGTGGAGTGGGGCCGGACATGAAGCAGCGGGGAAGGGGGGAGGCGCAGGGCCGAACGCGGGGCTCTGTCCCTGCCCGCCCCCCTGTCATTCTTGACAGGCAATTTGCTACTAAGTATATAAGGAGTGTGCATCAGGAACTGGGAGGACATCTCTTCACCAGAACACTCCAAGGGAAGACAAGGTGTAATGGTCACAGACTGCTGAAAGACCCTTCCAGACTGGATATAAGGAAAAACTTCTTTACTGTTCAAGTCTCCAGAGTCTGGAATAGACTCCCTCCAGAAGTGCTGCAAGCACCTACTCTGGATACCTTTAAGAAATGCCTGGATGCTTATCTTGCTGGGGTGATCTAACCCCAACTGACTTCCTGCCCCTTGGGCAGGGAGCTGGACCCGATGATCTTGCGAAGTCCCTTCCAGCCCTAATGTCTATGAACCTTTAACAGGTTAATTGTGTAAAATAGGTTGGTTTCCCCATTACGTTTGCTGGTGATAGTCAGCTGCTTCTCAATAGGTATAACAGCAGACACAGCTTTACAGCATCTCTTTGTGTCTCTTCATGAATGACATGAATATGTCTACAGCAGGGATTGGCAACCTGCAGTGCAGTGCATAGGCCACAGCTGCTCTGCTGGACCACTGGACCCACTTTGCAGAGCAGTGGCTTTGGCAGTATTTGGCAGTGAAGGGTTCTACCTGTACTGTAGCCAGGCATTTTGCCCATGCTACAGTACAACTGGGCAGCAAGGAGAAGCAGCAATGCTGGGGAATGGGTCCTTCCACCAGCCTGCCTTTGACCTGAGCTGGTTCATTCCACTGCCAGAAGAGGTTGCTGACTTCTGATCTGGAGTAGTGGCTTTTCAGATGAATTCTACTCAGGAAAGGTGTATTGTGTGTTGGGACTGGCATAGAGGCAGTTGTGGATGGAGAAAGCACAGGAAGGAAAGGGGAAGGGAACACAGACAAAATAAGGGCAAATAGTGTAACTAGGAAAAGGCAAAGTTGATATGGGTGTCACAAGAAACTAATCTTGTGGAGCTATAGGAGCTTGTTCAAAAAAAAAAAAGGGGGATGATATGGTCAAACACCTGGTGAAGAAGATGATCATAGTGACTGCATTTTTTATTGCCTGGAGGAAGAACCATATGGGCAGAGCTCAGGTTACTTTTATCAGGACATATAGGAAATGAGGTTTTGATTAATGAATAGAAAAATATAATGAAAACTGAACACTTACGGCCTGAAAAGTGTTGCCATCCTTGCAGAATGAAGATGTTGTCTGTCTTTTCAGACTTGTAGATTTTTACTCTCGCTATCTTACTTTGGTCATTTTACTGTGGATACAGTTATTAGTATCTGCAGTAATCTAGTTAACTTCCTTATGTTAACTATATAAATACCTTGAATTTAACAAATACTGAAAAGTTCTTTAAGATATAACTAAACCTGGACTGTCAGACTTTGGCATAGCTGGGTGCAGCCTCCCAGGATTCCCTCCACCATGGCTACACCCCTCCCTTCCCTCCACCATTGTGCAGGCTGTACTGGGTGTGTATGGGCTTTCCCTCTCTCTCGCTCTCCTTCCTTCTGCTCCCCCTCCACCCCCAAGCTCATTACAGAAACAAACATACATACACTTCCTGGCATAAATGTTGAAACAACAAGCAAATTCTCCGTCTTAAAAAACATCTATAACAGTGGTTTTTCAACATTTTTAGACTCAAGGCATCCCTGGATAGACTCAACGCAGCCATCAGAAAAAGGCAGTGCTTAGTGTTTACTCTTTTTTGACAATACAAAAAAAAAAAAAAGGAAGTTTTTTTGTCGTTGCAAAGAACTCAGAAAGATCACAACTGTGGTTTTCTATTTGAAATCTCTGGGTTTATCTTGTGAATGTTTGTAAACCTAACAGTGCTAATATTGTTTGGCTTGAAATCATCTCAAGGCACCCCACAGTGCTATGGCACCCTGGTTGAGATCCACTGATCTGTAGTGTGGATCCACTGTAATTACTGAATGTTGCTAAAGAGAGGCATCATTAATGATGAACACTATGAAATATAAAGTGTCTTCAGCTTTTTCATAGCAGATCAGGAATAAAAAGCTTGCAGTGATTCTCAGTGAATGCTCTTGGGCTTGCATACAATATTTTGGTTACTAGAGCCTTCTGTTATAGTACAACTATCTTTAAAATGTTAATTAAGAATTGTATGTTAAATAATTCTTTGATAATTACTTTAACTTGTTTATTAGACAACATTTGCCTGAATGGAGAGCCAGTCAGCACTAATATTTCATATGTACCTTTGACATGTTTGAGAAAATCATATTTTTTCTCATTTAGTTATGTACATTTTTTTCTTTCTAATGGATTTTTCAGATATAATCAGGGAACAGGACAATTCAACTTTTTAAAATTGCATACAGGTTACTTGGAATGGGAGAATAAGTTGTATAAATTTAATAATCTATCTGCTGTGACTCTGACACCAGGGGAAATGCTTACACTCATGCTTTGAGAGTGCCAGAGTGTAGGTGACTTGTGGCTGGGGTTGTTGTCACTTTTCTGTTTTCCTTCGTTTCTTAAACATGAATTTGGTAAACTGCAATAGCCTGCAAATGATGGAAGTCTTCAGTGAGGTTGCTCAACTTGGGGGTAGAAGCAGAGAGAATGCCTGGACCCTGGTATTTTGGTTGCTAGGAGCTGGGGAAGGCATGATGATGAGCTGTGGTTGAGTAGGGAGTGAGGGCACAGCTGGTTGTTAGAAAGACAGCTTTCATTAAATAAGCAATACAAGGTGCTCATTAATAAAAAGTGCCAACAAGAGTGGTTAAAGATCAGAAAGGAGCAGCAGAGTTCTGGCTACATACCAGACTGGCCAGTTGCAGCAGTATATGGAGAGGGGGGAGGGGATGTTGAGGAGCAATGCAGTGTGGGATGCCTGAATGACTGGCCAGACCCATGTCCCAGAAAGGTTGGTGTCCACACATAACATTGAGCCAGTTCACAGTGAAGCAGTTCAACATAATATTTGATTTTCCAGGTAGATTTAAACCATTTTAGCAGGCTTGCAGGTCTGTCAGCTTCAGGTTTAAACTTCATTTAAACCATTCTGTTATATATGTTCATGCCCTCAACAAACAAAATTCTATAGAAACACGTCCCAGAAGAAGGGGATATTTAGACAGATTGGTCAGAATTTAAACAACTTTTTCAAAAATACCAGTATCACAATTGCAATGATTCTGAGATTTATTAATATGTGTTTGAACAGTTTAATCTCATATTTTCTCTACAGATGATTCAGACCATAAAGATTCTTGTTGAAAATTCAGATAGCTTATATGAGAAAATCGTTCAGTGTCAGAAGGCAGGTAAGTGCAAGCTCTTTTTCTGAATAAATTAAAAATACAGGAAGGGATTTCTCTTATATTTTTATTTTTACAAAACCATGAATGGGGTTAATTTAATCCTTTTGTGCTCAAATAGAATAAAATTTAGGCATGTACAACAGCAATGAAAGTGTACCTTTTGGGTGCTTATCCAGTACTGAGTGAATTGTTTACACCTGGATTGATAGCATTGCAGCTGGACTTTGGAAATCATTAAAAATGTTAAGTTTGTGCAGTTGGTTGATGATAAATTCTATTATGCCAAAGCAAAGATGGAGTGTAAAAATACTGATATATTTGAGAAAAATGTGCCATTCCTATACAAATGTGCAAGGCCATGTCAACTATGTTGCCTAACATGTTGATGTAAGGGGAAGCTATAATGTACACAAGTGGCTAAAACATTGCTTAATTTTCTGGTTTTGCAATCTGATGAATTATTATGAAAACACATAGTTGTTAGAGATTTTTATATTAGAGAAACTAGTCAGATGTATTATTAATAGTAATGCCTGTATTAGTAGTCCATGTCTCATTTTCAATTTGCAATTTTACTTTAATATCATCTGTTTCCTTTGGGTTGGCTGAAGCACAGATTGATCAAGTGAGATGCTACAAAAGATCATAAATTAGTTTAGCTGGAGTTAGAACCAAGCCTTTTTTAGCCCCTTGTCTTTGATCAACTAAATACTGTGAAGCCTGTCACATAAAAATGTCTTGACAATGCTGAGTGATTCAGGCAGTGGTTTTCAACCTTTTTAGACTCAAGGCGTACTTCCACATCTTGCGTGAATTACTGGCACCCCATTTCAAAAGCTAATACATTACAGTGGCTATACCTCCTTGCAGAGGGGCCAGGCAGTGGAAGTTAAGGGAGTGCCAGGCAGGGAAGAACATGAGTTTAAACTTACCTCCTCACGCCATAAGGCACCTTTCAGAGGTTCTCTGGGCTGCGGCACCCTGATTGAGAAACATTGGATTAGAGAATATAATCAATGGCTTCCACTAACAAATGAAATTTTAAGGAATTAAAAGTTATATGTATATATCACTTAAACTACAGCTGTATTTTCTCATTTCATTATTTTTATCTGTTTTTGACTGCCTGGGGTTCCATGAGATATTTTTAAGGGGGATTCAGGGTGTTGGAGTTTTAGCATGGTTAGGTGTGCAACATGATTTACAAGATAAACCCAGAGATCTCAAATAATAATCCACAGAGGCAAAAAACAATTTGAACTGTTGTGCTTTTTTTAATTGTTTGCAAGAGGGGAATTGCTTTATATTTCCATTGCCAAAAATGAATTAAAATAGAGTTGGAAAAGATATTCTGCTAAATTCAGAAAAATTGTGGTGGGGGATGCCTTCAGTCTAAAAAGGTCAAGAACCATTGCCTTACAGAAATGGTAGTGTATGTAACAGCGTTGTCATCTGGGAAGGTTGGACCAGGGGTTGGCAGCATTTTTGGGCAGAGTACCAAAAATATCAACAACCTGGACTTGTAAGATGTTAGCATGACAGAAGCGGATAGCAGGGAAGCTGCAAGGGGCCTGATCCTTGTTGTGGCAGTGCAACTCTGGCCCCTTCCCAAACTGTGCACCCCAAGGCATGTATGCCAAGCAGAATGCTTCTCTGTGCCATGCTCTGGCAACTGTGTCAGGGGTTGCATGGTTACATGGGTTAGACCAATGCACAGACATGTCAGGGATATGACTGACATAAATATGTTGTGCTGTTGAACTAAAATGATGCATCTGAAGTGACTTAAGTGGTAGAAGAAATGAAGATAAGTATCCTTGACAATTAGACTAATCTACTGTACTATATAGTAACAGCTATAGATGGAGCCAGCAGCAGGTCTGAGAAATATAGATATGGTGAATGTAACTATGAGGAACTGCTGGACTGAACTTTCACTGCTGAAACAGAAAATAAACAGAGAAAATCAAAACAGAAAATAAAATTGAAAAGGTTTTCTCAAGATTTTTTCCTAAAGTCAATACCTTAACAGGTACTTAAAAGGAGGAAAAACAAGCACATTGTTTATGGATGGACAAGGTGAATGATTATTTGCATAATCATTTACATGAGCAGTGTTTGGGGGGGGGGGGGGACG